GCCGGTAGTAACGTCTAGCCATTTTTAGAGTGAAGTTCTGCTCGGAAAGGTATCTTGCTGTCCTCTCCCTACAAAAGTTACTCTAGTGAGCAGATAGCGTATGCTGGCTGTTGGTCCCCACAGTATTTCCATGTGCACCGACAAGTCTCAGGATCCAGGGAAATGATGCAAGTAGCTTTGGGGAAAGGGAAAGGAACGGGAAGCAGGGGCATGGAAAGCACAAGGAAGCGAAGGAGATAGCAGGAAGTTCAATATGAATCTTACATATAGAAAAGACCACCCGAGTATTTGGTATCTAGCTGGATATGAAATTAAGCTACTGAAATAAATATAAAATGTAATTTCAGAAAATTATAGCAATAGTACTGAATCTAGAGTTGCAGAAAAAATGACTCAATTCGGTATTACACTTTATGTTTCACAGAGCAGAATGATCACATTTAAAGGACTAAAAGTGTAAAATGCAACATGCATATTCATCCTTCATGTCCTCATGTGAGATTTTGTTACATTTTCTGATACTGTACAATGGCTGTGTAAGCAGAGGACTACTCTCATCAATAATCTAGAAATTGCTTCAAAACCCCAGGTATATATTTACAATAAAAATGCCAGTGCCACAATACTAAAGAATTGGCCAATAAAGACCTGTAAGTTGGTCAGATGGAGTTCCTCTGAATTATGACATCGTTTGACTTCAGTTAATAAGTTCATCTGACATTAGAATCATTGCATTCAAGTAGAGGTTAATGAGACTTTAAACAGGTATTTTATCAAACGTACAATAAAGAGAATTGATTTTAGGTCTCAATTAGGAAAGAGGAAAGATGATTCTGTCTTGGAGTACAAGGGTCAAAGCCACAATTTTTTAAATTCAATCTTCTTTTGGAAGATGGAACAAAAAGTGGTCTTCTTGCGTGTAGACATGGTGCTTAGGGACTTGGCAGTGTAGGTTTACAGTTGGTCTTGATGATCTTAAGGCTCGTTTCCAGCCTAAATGATTCTGTGATTCTATATTTATTTCTTCCTTTGTGAAATACTACTACTTGTTTACTGTGACAGTATGGTAAGGCTTACCATAAAAATTCTTTCAGTATTAAAAAAAAATATTATTATACCATTATAATTAGCAATTTAGTATACCATCAAAGTTATTTTAGTATAGCCAATGCAGGAGCCTGTTTACATTTCACTATGAAAAGCTCAACATATTTTCTGAGTTGAAGTCAGTACTTTCAGGTTTCCACCTCTATTTGTTCTAGTCATTCCCTGCCTGCAATACAATCATGACACTTCTATTATTTATCTCTCTCTCAAACCGATTTTTTTTTTTTTAAAATAATTATTTATTTGTATGTGTGCGTACTTACATACTCCTTACCTTAGGGAAGTTTCCCCTTTGGTACGTTCAGAAATAACCGTAACTCCCGCTCGCAAGAGCTGCGCAAACCCCACAGAATTCGTGCTGAGCTAGAATCTGCTGGTTTAATTCCCTGCTGGGAGTCTGCCAGTTGGGAAACGCTGACCAGCAAGTACAGGTCTTAATTACACAAATCCAGAAGCTGCTGCCAACCTTTCCCCATTGAGAAGCATTTGCTTTCTAGTGTTCTTCTTGATGAAGAGATTATCACTCAAACATAATTTATTGCTGCTTTATATTGTAAGTAATTAAATGAAGAAACCTTTTAAACTCAAGGGAATTTTAATAGGTTACTTGCAAAATGTTATTGCAGGCAACAACTTGTACATTATTTTAGTTCCAAACCCACCAAAAATTATACAAATCAGCATTGTAAAAGTGTCAAATTAATGCCTTACAGGCTTTGCTGGCAGAATTAATTTCTAAATTCTAGATGTGGGGAAATGTTACTCTCATTTTTTTCCTTTTCCATTTTTTTTTAGAAAAATTTACAAGTGAAATATTACTACAAAACTTTTTTATAAGGAATTTTTGCAAAACATTTACATTTTTACCATCAACTATTTTTTTTCTGTTTCAAAATCATTATGTAGATTTAATACCCTATGCTGCACATCAATTCTTGCGGGATGACAATTCAGTGACATGCATAAAAAAACACCACAAGGCATTAAAATGAAGACTTAAATACAAATATTGTTGCAATAAAACACTTATAAAATTGAAAAATAGGACCTAAACATCATGCTTACTTAACTTTGACAAATTAACTTTTTCTCCTAGATTACACACTTTTATTACTGCTCTCGTGAAAGAATGTGATAAATAATGACTTAACACCAATTTCTAATGTAATCGGCAACACATACACGAACCTAACCAAAGAAAGTATATTGTAAGAAAAAAACTATTCTAACACTGGAGTTCTACCATGGTAAATACACTTTGCACTGATTATTACAATAAAGCAAAATTTTTAACGGTGGCAAAGGGAATGAACAGTGAAATGCCATTAAACAAGATACTACTGCACATCTGTGCCCTATTACTTACAACAGCTATATCCCACTGAGTCAAATAAAGGACACGGAAATTTACGATCCTTTTAAGACAGAAAAGTGGATTCAGAATGGTATGCAGAACAGACTGTCAAAATGTTTCTAATTCCAGCGGTAAAATGTGCACCTGCTAACACAAGTTAATGTACTTGAGATGCTATGAAGCCAACCAGATTTAGATTTTGATACATCTATAATAGGGATTCATTGCAGATTAAAAATGACTTCAGTGTCCTATCTGCATACGTTAAGTATGCAGGAAAAAATTATATATGAAATGGTTGTGCAGAATGCTTATAACTTCGGTTTACAAAAATTGTTAAGTTCTAGGAAACATGGTATTAACATTAGGAAAGTTCTTCTTTGCATAAAGAAATTTATAGCACTGATTGTGAAGCATAATGATAAAATATATATTTGACGTTTCATTTCCTATATAATAAAATTAACAGTTAATACTACCTAATGTTCATCTGTATTAAATGTAACATCTAATTGATTCTGATGTTTTAAATCCAGATACATCAGTTAAGAGTACTTTAAATAAAATATACAAAATAATGTACAAAACCCAACTAAAATTTAAAGACTCTGTTACAAGTCTACAAAAGCTTTAAGAAACTTGAAATTTATAACCACAGTGTAAAATTGTTTTCTTTAATCTCAAAGCTTTTTATGTAAACTGAAAGTATAAAATACCTTCAGCTTAGTATTTTGCTACAAAGGGCTGGCCTAAAGTGTACACAGTGTAAACAATGATTGGTATTTCTCTTGCTTCAAAAATACAGAAAACACCACAAGATTGATAAAGTATTCAGATGAGAAGTATATTTTTGTGAGGGAATGCACAAGGTATCTCTTACGTCTCTCAAACCAACAGCTACCAAACACGCTCTCCTTTTTGCAATTTGCAGGGAAAAAACATCTTTATCCTTCCTGCACTGTACTTCCTTCAGTAACATCAAAAATATTTTGGTGTATAAATTTTTTTAAAAACCGCTCATGAGAATTATTACCAAATGACTGTATATGTAAAAGGTTACATTTATGCCTATGGGAAGTAATTAAAAATCCTGAGTATGAAATATTTGGCCATCTTTCCTCCTTGTACGTACTGGAGTTTTCACATAGAAAATGCAGTTTGTTTTTGTTGTTGTTGTTTTTCGTTTCCTCTATGTTCCTACTGAACTGGCACATCTGCAAATGTAACCAAACCTTTGAAATCAAAAGTTGTGTAGTGAAATGAGAACTATATTCCTCTTTCCCCTGTTTGCTTTGTGGTTGGAGGCTCAATGTAAGATTTGATAGGTAACATTTATTACCAGGCCATGTATCATCCTTGAAGAGAAAACAAAGACATAATATTTAGGGGAAAAGAGAGAAAACGTTTACTTTCAATATCTTTTTTGGTTAAAATGTGGTAATTAATTCTTTTCTTTGGCTATTAAGTCAAAGCATAAAGAACTCAGCACATTAACCGCAATATAATAAACTAGTATTTACAGAGAGAAGATACTGGAGAATGAGCTACAACACTCAATTGTCTGATTAATTTCCATGAATTCTAACAAAATTAAAACATTTAAATCCTAAAATTCAAGGGTTTTATGATTCATGTTAGCTATGAGTTAGAAAAGTATCACGGATGTTTTAAAATATAGTTAAACGAAATACCAAAAATTAACACAAAAGTTGCCGAATTCATTTTTCATCCTACATAAAGATACCATTACTTTTGTAAAATCTTACGTTAATATCTTTCTAAGGTTTTATCTTTCCTACTGTACACACTAATTCTACATAACCTTAGCTCTCCAAACAACGAGAGGAATTACAACTCACTGATTGTCATTTATACACACTACTATAATGTAGTGGCCAAAATTAATCTGAGGTCCACCTCAGAATCACTTTGCAGCACGCATCATCCAGCTGCTATTTGAGTAGTTCCAAAACTTGAGAAAAGACGGCCAAAATCAACTGACATGTTTTATGGACTGAGCAAAAACCTACAATATTCCCCACTGTTGTTCAATCTGTATTCAGTTTTGCTGTGCCTTATGGGAAAAGGATGTTCTCATGAAAAGTTTACAAATTTAGTTTAAAAACAAAGTACCTTCATCAAATGATATCAATCCTAGTCAAGGTCCACCCTGTTTTACATCGATATTATCTGATTTTTATAAACACATTAACATACAATGCTAAAATAGGGGGGGGAAAGTTCATTTAAAATCATTATTATGATATACAGACATATAACTAAAAAAGTACAGTATGGAAATAACATTCCCCCATCTGTTTATCCAGTACATCAATTTGCGCTGTTTGTATTTTTGAAATTTTTGTCTTGTTGCACCGGTGTACACTTCGCATGCTGACCCTCCAACCTGGAACACTTACAGAAGTCATGACTGAAAACATGGTTTCCTGCTCTGTAATCCACTTTACCAGCCCACTTCCATATCCTGAAAGGTATGTAAACTTAAGTGCAGCACTAGGCGTCCATAGAAATGATCCTTTCAGAATTCTTCCATGTTTGTTGAAACATTAGGGGTTGCTGGGTTTGAATCTTGAGAAATGGCAGCAACAGTGACAATTCTTGGAGAACCAAGAACCTCAGTAACTGACGAGTCCAGTTCTCCTGAGGTAACAATAGCAAGGGCTGTTCCACCACCCTTCTTGTTCTGGTGAGTTTTGACATGTTTCGAGAGATGGTCACTTCGCATAAACCTTTTAGAGCATTCTGGGCATTCAAATCTCTTTTCACCTTTTTCAAAAGAAGAACAAAACCAAAATGTTACTGAATGACAACACTGAACACTGCTTGATCATTTGCATCTGACCCTTTTCTGTTCAACATTTGAGGTGTCTTTAAAGGATACAGTGTTTTCTTCTCTACCTGTCTGGTCTCCAGGTGTGTTCTGTTCAGTCACAGGCTTTTGGCAACCTGCCCTTCACTACTAAAATGGTCTCAACAAATATTTGCTATGCTCTGATTATCTGGTGAGTTTGAATTTCACACCACCAGAGAATTTTCATAAAACTTCCATAAACCTGACAGAGTAGGAGAGGTAAAAGCCCTGAAAGAACAGCTTGATAGCATTTTTTTTGTCATTTAAATTACAGTGATTAGAAGGGAATTTGGAAGCGTGAATCCCAAAGCTCCACACCCGAGGATGTATGAAATCAATGTCAAGAAAGACAAATTCAACATTAATTAGTGCTTAGACTTCAAGTGCTATTTTCTGATGCTGTAAGCTGGGGGACACACACCTTCCTGGGGCTAGAAATATGAAGTTTCTAAAAGGTCCACCTTTCCAATCTGAACTGTTAAGAGCACTTACTTTATCAGTTCTCACTTGAAACTTCAAGAAAATTCCCAAGACGACCAAATTTGATGTATGGACTAGGTTAATAAATTTCATAAGGACTGAGCTAGTCCAAGTGGGGAAACAATGACCCTGGTCCCTGGCCAATCCTACATGCCTGATCTAAATTTGTCAAATCAGGCACTAGCTAATGTACATCAGCCATCTCTGCTGATCTTTTTCTAGCACAGGTACAGAAGAACAGTTTGAACAGATCTCATTTTATTTATTTGATTTAACAGTCAGCATGAATTAATGAAAACTGAAATCTAACACTTCCTCTGTTTTCAAGTTACTTTATTTACATTTAAAAGTAGTTTTCAGAGAGCCTAATAAGTGAGAACTTTGATATCACTGTTTAACCATGGCCACTATGATTCAGGCTTGCTGTACTACGCATACAGAGAGGGCTGACCAACCTGTGTGGGTTCTTCTATGTCTTTGTAACTCATCACTCCTTGTAAATCGCTTGCCACAAAAAATCCAGTTGCATATAAATGGTCTTTCACCGGTATGCCAGCGCAGATGTGCTCGAAGATGAGATGTCTTGCCATAAACCTTTCCACATCCTTCAATATGGCAGATATGTTGTTTCTTTTTTCCTGGCTCATTGCTGCCTCTAAAAAGATCAAATTTAAACAGGTAAGTAATTATATTCTAAAATATTATTAGCTACTAGGAAAAGTGTTTCATGATTACAGAGACAATTATAATGCCCTGTCTAAAAAGAAATAGATAAACACACTTTCTAATAGAAAACATTAAAAAGGTGGGCAATATAAGAAAATCTCATGCCCAAATGAGGCAAGCTGTGATAAGATGCCTAAATACGTACTGATAAAGTTGATATTTACCTTCCTTCTCCCTCTCTGCAATTAGGACATGAGCAGGCAACTCTTCTCAATCTCTTGCCAGGTTGCACTTCCTGGTCAGAAGCTTGTTGAGCTTGTTGCAGCTGCACTTGCGTTATCTGATCAGGACTAACAGCACCAATTGCTGCATTAGCAATGCCACCTACTGCCACAGTAACTGGAGCTATTGTGGCTTGCTGTACTTTTACTCCATCCTGTCCTTGCTGTTGACCTGTAAAATAAGAAAGTGTTTGTACCTTTTATTACTTGTTTCAATAAGTGAAATGCACAAATACACTTCATACATTTTATAGAACAAAAATCCACCTAAATTAAGGGGAGCCACAAAACAAGTATTAAATCCAGCCATTTTCCTGAAGCACTACCAGGGTACTTACCTGCTAGCTTAGATAGCCCTGTTTAATCTAATTTGTTATTGCAACAGTACAAGAATGCAAATTACTGACTGAGACTAAGAAACATGAACTAGTTTAACAAGTGTTTTCTTTTTCTCAAAAGCTGAGATAAATGAGAAACCATTAGAGAAAATCTTACACAGAAATATTGTTAAATCTATTGCCAATTAATGTCTCTCTAATAACCTCTGAAAACATACCTGCATTCAGAAAACTACACTTAGCTAATTTTAAAAGTTGCTTTATGCCACACTGTCACTTCTCCTACAATCTGTCCTGAATCAACATTGAGCCACACAGGAACTTTCACAAAGAGAAAGAAACGTTGTAGGACTAGACTTGGACAAGCATACCAGAGCTTTGTTGGGTTTTTTTTTGCAGCCCTGGGACGGGGTAATCCTGCTTACATGTACAAACTGGGGGACAAGAAGCTGGAGAGCAGCCCCGTGGAAAGAGATCCAGGGTTTGGTTGATGACAAGTTGAATACGAGTCAACAGGCTGCCCTGGCAGCCAAAAGGGTCAACCGTGTCCTGGGGTGCATCCAGCACAGCCTAGCTAGCCGGTCGAGGGAGGTGATTGTCCCACTCTACACTGCACTTGTGTAGTCCCACCTCAAGTACTGTCTGCAGTTTTGGGTGCCTCAATATAAGAAGGACATCAGACTCAGAGTTGTGTCCAGAGGAGGGTGACCGAGATGGTGAAAGGCCTCAAGGGCAAGACTTATGAGGAGCAGCTGAGGTCACTTGGTTTGTTCATCTTGGAGAAGAGAAGGCTGAGGGGTGCCCTTATCGCAGTGTTCCTCAAGGGGGGCAGTGGAGGGGGAGGTGCTGTTCTACTCTGGGTGGTCCTGCTCTGGCAGGGGAGTTGGACTAGATGGTCCCTCACAACCCCTGACATTCTGTGATTCTGTGCTCTCCTCTCTCTGGTGACCAGTGATAGGACACATGGAAATGGAATGGAGCTGCATCAGGGATGTCTTGGTTTGAAAGACAGGTGTCTG